AAAAGAGAGGAGAAAAAAAAAGGGAGGGAAAAAGAGACAGAAAAGAGAGGGAAAAAAAGAGGGGAAAAAAGGGAGGGAAAAAAGAAGAGAGTGGAAAAAAGAGGTAGAAAAAAAAAGAAAAAAGATGAAGAAAAGAGGGAGAGGGAAAAAAAGAGGGAAGGAAAAGAAGAGAGGGGGAAAAAGAGAGGGGAAAAAGAGAGGAAAAAAAGGGGGGGAAAAAGAGAGGGGAAAAAAGAAGAGAGGGGAAAAAAGAGGGAGGGGAAAAAAAGAGAGAAAAAAGAGATGAAAAAAAGAGGGAGAGGGAAAAAAGAGGGAGGGAAAAGAAGAGAGGGGAAAAAAGAGAGAGGGGGATAAAAGAGAGGAGAAAAAATGAGGGAGGGAAAAAGAGACAGAAAAGAGAGGGAAAAAAAGAGGGGAAAAAAGGGAGGGGAAAAAAGAAGAGAAGGGAAAAAAGAGGGAGGAAAAAAAGAGAGAGGGGGAAAAGAGAGAGAAGGAGAAAAAAAAGAGGGAAAAAAAGAGGGAAAGGAAAAAAGAAGAGAAAGGGGAAAAAAAAGGGAGGGGAAAAAAGAGAGGGAAAAACCCTCAAAGCCTGCAAACAGGGCTGGATTTTTGGGAGTGGTGAGCGACTTCAGAGGTGCTGGCTGTTCCCAAGCCACTTTTTGTGGGATTTAGGGATCATCCCTTCCAGCTGTTTGCCTTGATTCCAGAGGAACCAAAATCCATCAAAACAGAGCTCCAGGGTTTTCCTCCAAATCCATTTGGTGACAAGAGGCACCACAAGCACACCCAGAGGCTTGGGAACACTGCAGGAATTCCCTGGATAATTCCTGTCAGGAAAAAAGGCTCCAGGGAAAACTGAGCAAGGGGGATTTTATGGAAAATTCCAATTTTTTTTTTTTTTTTCCCCCACAGATGGGAAGGAATGTTGCTCCAACATGGATTTGGGATATAGGGCAGCAACCTTTGGTCCAGAAGACAAAAAAGAAAAAGGGCAGGAGACCTAAAAATTCATGGATTGTGGGAAGAATGATGGGATTTAAAGGAACAAAGGGAGGCCTGGATGATCCCATGGGATTATCCCAGAGCATTCCTTACTCACGGATCTCAGATTCTAGGTACAGGGCAGCAACTTTTGGTCCAAAATAATGGCAGGAAACCTAAAACTTCATGGATTGTAGGAAGAATGATGGGATTTAAAGGAACAAAGGGAGGCCTGGATGATCCCATGGGAAGAATGATGGGATTTACAGGAACAAAGGGAGGCCTGGATGATCCCATGGGATCATCCCAGGGCATTCCTTACCTGTGGATCCCGGATGATCTCCCTCCAGCAGCGACACACCAGGCTGAGGCTCTGGTACAGATCCAGCACTGGCAGGAAAGCAAAAATATTCCTGAGGATTTCAGGAGGAAGATCATCCATGGATCCCTGAGGAACCTGCCAGCTCCGAGTGCCCAGGAGCCCGTAGTGGGAATCGGGAAGGGGCTCCACTTCCAGCTCTTGCCATTCCTGCTGGATCCCGCTGAGCTCTGGAATCTTCTCCTTGGGTTCCTCCCAGAGATGCTGCTCTGGCTTGGGAATTGCTCTTTTCCTGGGATGTGCCCTGGGAGGTGGCAGGGAAAGGGAGGGGCTGCTGAAGGGAGAGGGAGGTGCAGGAGGAAAGGGATCCAGAGGCTTTTCCTTCATCCCGTGGGGAGTTCCAGGGGAAAAGGGATCCAGAGGCTTTTCCTTCATCCCGTGGGGAATTCCAGGGGAAAAGGGATCCAGAGGCTTTTCCTTCATCCCAAAAGGAGTTCCAGGAGAAAAGGGATCCAGTGGCTCTGCCTTCATCCCATGGGGAGTTCCAGGGGGAAAGGGATCCAGTGGCTTTTCTTTCATCCCATGGGGAGTTCCAGGGGAAAAGGGATCCAGTGGCTCTGCCTTCATCCCATGGGGAGTTCCAGAGGAAAAGGGATCCAGAGGCTCTGCCTTCATCCCATGGGGAGCTCCAGGGGAAAAGGGATCCAGAGGCTTTTCCTTCATCCCGTGGGGAATTCCAGGGGAAAAGGGATCCAGCGGCTCTGCTTTCATCCCATGGGGAATTCCAGAGGAAAAGGGATCCAGAGGCTTTTCCTTCATCCCATGGGGAGTTCCAGGGGGAAAGGGATCCAGAGGCTCTGCTTTCATCCCATGGGGAATTCCAGAGGAAAAGGGATCCAGAGGCTTTTCCTTCATCCCGTGGGGAATTCCAGGGGAAAAGGGATCCAGTGGCTCTGCCTTCATCCCGCGGCTCTGCATGCCAGAAGCTCCCGCTGACGGCTTTGCCTTTATCCTGAAGAAATCCAGGATCTTCCTCTGCCTGCCTGGCCCTGCACAAAGGGGAAAAGTGGGAATGAATTCCATGGGAATCAGGGAATGAGGGAGAATTTGGGGTTTGGTGGCACGTCCAGGCTGGGCAGGGAATGTTGTCTGGGAAGGGAGCCAGGTACAGGTAGAATTCCTAGGAAAATGGGCCTGGATCCCACT